CACAAAAGGGGAGAAGCTATAATAACAAGGGCAGATCCTTGTCCAATGCCTTTTATGAGTACAGGTAGGTGTTCAGTGATCATAAAAGGAGTTACACGAATGAAAGAAAATCAACTCAAAGGCACTGACAGATGATACAAGCTATTTAAGTAGCTGGTTACATTCTGAGATATTTATAACGTAATTTCATGGACAGCCATACCTTACTTTGTTGTATTTCAAAATCATAAGATAAGTAAAGGCCAAAAGAAAATAGCGAGTTAATGTCCTTGGGCTTGTTCAGGCATCCACTGTGCAAACCACTGAACACAATTGAACACAAAGCCATCCCCACATTCTAATGAGAGTTTGAAAACAATTCTGTCACCTTGAACCAGTGGTGAAAGCTTAACTTGAATTATAACTTCTACTGTACCTGTCTCCTACTATATCTTTGTGAAGATTAACGAATTAAGAGATATGAAGATAAAAATCCCTGTTTATTATTGCTGTTAGCTCTGATTCAGCACCAAATTTTTAAAAATAATAAAAATCACTTCCCTACCTCAATTTTACATTCTCAGAAATTATTCCCATGAAGCAGCACGATGAATCAGGCTAAATGGTTTTTGACTGCAAGCACTTACAGGCACAATTTATGAATGGAAACGTGAGGGCATGCTGGCCAGTTCTGAAGCCCCATACTTACTCCCGGGCTATTTATAGAAAGTATATGGCCCGTGGAAAAGATCACATTTATTTTCACATTATGACATGACCAAAAAACTTGCTTCCTCTCTCTGGAAAGGTAATTTTCATTAGCTTCAGGAATGGCAGAGAAGAAAGGAATCCCCTTTAGCCAATTAAATTAGCTAAATCCACCCAAGGGACCAACCGATAAGGTGACAGGTACTGAAGTCAAACACCCTCACTTCCCAGTAATGACTATATGATGTTACTCCTTGAGATGTCATCTAGATCATGACTAACGCGTAAAAAGAAAATACATTACATAATATGCTTCCAAATGCTACTGCTAAAATAGGTTGTACGAGTATAATGGAAGGAATTTTCATGTTTAATTTGTTTTACATTTCAAACAGCTGAGCACAATAAAGCAAAACTGAATTGCGATGATGTGGCAAAGTAGAGATGGTGAAAAATATTTAAAAAATTTTTTTCTGATTTCAGTATCACTCCTGAAGTAGCAAATATACCTGATAGTTCCAAGCATATGTGAAGACTTAGTAAATATTTGCCAATTCTAAAATATCATTTATTTTGCTAGAAATGTTGTACTTCAGCAAATAACAGTTTAACAAAATCATCCTGTTCTTATATAGTTGACATGGGACTTATTGGCACACATGAAGTATACCCAGACCACTGTTGTCAACTAAAATGTTCTATTGTCAATGTTACACATGGTATATAAAATCTACGATTGTGTAGGAAAGGAAAAGGGAAAATGACAGTAAGTGTCATTGTCTCTGAAACGTACTGGGTGCTGAAACCTTCACGGGGAAAAGTGTGTCATCTTACTGGGCTCATGCATCATTATCACTTGAAAATGATATGGGTATAAATTTTATCCTTGAATGGCCTCTGCTTAAGGACAAAGACATAGGGCAAGGAGAGAATTCTGCTTATAGACCCAGAAGTTCTCCAACAAAATTTAAAATGGTAAATACAAGGTTTTTTTTTTTCTTTTTCTCAACTCATTAATCCTCTATAGAAGTTTGTATTCTAAAAATTCTGTCTGAAAGAGGAGGTCCCATGTTACAAGGAAGCTACAAAATACTCAACCTGTTTCTCTAGCTTCCAAACATGTCTGCAGCTCTAGATGAGGCATTAATCACATGTAAGTAAGTTTGCATGTGGAAATACCCTGGTTTCCACAATTGTACTAGAATACATGGTACTGAATTATGTTACAGATGAGAAATAACATCTGTTGTAGGCACAAATTATTGGTTTCTATCTGGTAGCGTAGTGGTTACGAATCGGACTGCGAACCTTAAGGTCAGCGGTTCGAAACTACCAGCCGCTCCGCGGGAGAAAGACGAGGCTTTCTACTCCCGTAAAGATTTACACCCTCGGAAACCCTGTACAGGGTCGCTATGGGTCGGACCCGACTCGATGGCACTCAACAACAACAACAACAACAATAATCTAACAGGAACTTCCCTGCACTTCACAAAGGATGAAACTCTTGACACCCATCCGCAACTGTGCGAAGCGTGCTTACCATTCCATTCCAAAAGTTCTAAATTAAAATACTTTTTTTTTTTAAATGAGTTGCCATCAAGTTGATTCTGACTCCTGGCAGACCTCAAGTGTGTTATAGCACAATTGTACTTGATAGGGTTTTCAATGGCAGATTTTTTCAGATCACCAGGCCTTTCTTCCAAGGTGCCTCTGGGTGGACTGAAATCATCAGCCTTTTGAGTGCAACACCCAGGGCTCCAAATTAAATATGTTGTTTAAATATAGTCAAGTCAGTTCCGACTCATAGGGACCTTGTATACAGTTTCTAAGGAGTGGCTCGTGGGTTTGAACCATCATCACCCTTGCAGTTAGCAGTTGAATGTTTATCTTACAATGCTACACCAGGACTCCAAATTAAATATAGACACATATATATATATTTAAATTCTGTGTGCAAATTAGCATACAGGATATTGGTTCCTCCGGGAATTGCATGAGCCTTTCTGTTGACAAATAAAGTGTTGTTGTTAAGTGCCATCGAGTCGATTCCGACTCATAGCAACCCTGTATCTTTTCTAAAGATTTCCTGAAATCTTTTCTAAAAACCAGATTGATCAATGTTAGACATTTCTTACAAATACTAATCTGTAATTGAGATGGCAACTCTAGATGAACATAAACCACTGAAATGACATATGTGAATAGTTACCACACTTCTGATAAATGTATTTTGTGAGAACCAGTGATAAGTCTTGACTTAATGGTAAAACTTAGATCAAGCATTATCAGGTTGATAAACACCTACCGCAGTACTGGTACGCTGATGCACTTAATCATTCACTACTGTATATGTCCTGGTGTGGCGCTGTGGGTTAATGCGCCAGACTGCAAAGCTGTTTGAACTGCAAGGTCGACGGTTCAAGCTCACCAGCTGCTCCTTGGAAACCCTACACAGGGTCGCTATGGGTCAGAATCGACTCCACGGCACTTCACAACATACTTGGTCAACCATTTACTTTGTTGTTGCTATGTGTTGTAGAGTCAGTTGCGACTCTATACAGTTTCTAAGGAGCGGCTGGTGAGTTTGAACTGCCAACCTTGCAGTTAAAATTGACCTTGCGGGTGAGTGCTTATTCTACATTGCCAAACCAAGACTTAACTCAACCCTAATGTGATGGCTGCAAAGCCATTTGAATTGCAAGTTCAGCGGTTCAAGCTCACCAGCTGCTCCTTGGAAACCCTATACAGGGTCGCTATGGGGTGTAATCTACTTGATGGCACTTAACAACAACAACAATGTGATGGCTAAGGAGTTTTGGTAGTGTAGTGGTTACGAGATAGGCTGCTAATCTCAAGGTTAGCAGTTCGAAACTACCAGCTGTTCCAAGGGAGAAAGATGAGGCTTTCTGCTCCCGTAAAGATTTACAGCCTTGGAAACCCTTTGCAGGGTTGGTATGAGTTGGAACCGACTCCATGGCACACCATTACCACCACCCACCAATGTGGTGGCTTGGAACTGCAGTTGTCATGGCAGGGTAAGATCAAATGAGTTCATGGACCTTATGCAATTCAAGGAGCTCTGGTAGCATAGTGGTTATGAATCGGGCTGCGAACCTCAAGGTCAGCAGTTTGAAACTACAAGCTATTCCAAGAGAGAAAGATGAGGCGTTCTGATCCTGTAAAGATTTACAGATTCAGAAACCCTGTGCAGGGTCGCTATGAACAGCACACAGCCACCACCACCACCATGCAACCTAAGGGCCTGACATTCCCCACCCTTGCTGTATAGGGTTTTTAAGGAGTGGCTGGTGGGTTTGAACTGCCAACCTTGTGGCTAGCAGTCCAATGCTTTTTCTGCAGGGACATGTAAAACTGATTTGCAGTCAGTCAAGAAAAACTTACTCCTGCTATTCCCCCATGCAAGAAATTGTATTTGAGGACCAGTCACTTGGGCATTGCTTCAAAAGGCACATTTATTCCAGTGGCAATTTAAGTAAGTAGAGAAGGAAAGAATAAGATTAAAACAGAATAAAACAAAAACCAGAGTGGCTTTTGTGGACAACATTAAAGTAAATAGGAATCTGGGGCTCCATACAAACCCCTGAGCTCCTCCTCATCATTAGCAAGAGTTCCTTAGGTAGAATAATTCAAAGTTGTATCATGACACACACAGACTTTCAGAAAACACTGTTTAAAAAGTATTTGAGAACTCTGAAGCAGCTTTGCCCTGATGTCCAGTTCAAGTGTTCGTGAACGCAGAAGAGCTGCAAAATCCAAAACTATGTGACAAGGAAAATCAGTGCATATTACAGGCTTTGTATAAATTATGAAAAAGTATTGTATATATTATGATTTAAATAACATCTGAGAAATATTTTTAAATCATTAACGTGTGTTCGCTTTCCATGCATTTTCTAGCAGGTTAAGCCCTAGGTTTGTGTCTCTTTGTGCCCTTTTCCTACAAAACGCCATTCTTTTGACAAATTCAAGCACTCCTCAGACTGAAATGGAAAATAACGGGAATTTCGTCTATTTACCTTCTTTATGGCATTACCTGACTCACGAGGGCTACTTGTTATTGCCGCGGGCACAGAAGATGATCGCAAAAGCGAACTGTTTGGGATTTTATTCGCTGCTTTTGAGAATCCCTAGATGTCACAGCCTCTCCAAATCACCCTAGATTTTTTCCAAGGGCAACCATCAGTGGCTTTCTCCCTCCTGCTTGACCCTTTCTTCCAAAACCCCACGAGCCCTAGAATCCCCCTGCAGCAGTTGGACTTTCCCTTCCTGTGGTTTTTGCAGAACCCTCCTCAAACAAAGAAGGCAACACAACAAAACTTGAAAACAAACCAATACAACAGTAGCTCCAAACAAACAGGTGGGCGAACCAGCGGCCTCCTCCAAGGGGAAGGAAGGTCGGCTCACTTCTTACAGCAGAATTCAGAGACGTTTAGGAACTTCCGGATGACCAGCCCCAGGCAAATCACCAACAGCAGCATGTAGCCCACAGTGCCCAAGAAGGTGGGTGCGGCAGGCGGCGCCTTGAGGAACTGGCTCAGGCCCTCCTCCACGTAGTACACTTGGTCATAAATGCTGAGGAAGGTAAATATGTGGAAGAGCTGGTGGCTGTGGCCGATAATGTCGAAGAGGCCCGGCTGGATGCGCTCGGGGATCTTGCTCACGTTGAAGAAGGCGGCCACCACCAGCCAGAAGTAGCGGCGGTAGAAGTGCACGAAGAGTGTGGGGTTTTCCCCGCGTAGATCGAAGAGCCAGCTCTCAAGCATGATGGGGCAGGCCATGCTGAGCGGCATGACGAAGACAAAGGTGCGCAGCGCGAACGGATAGGCACACCAGTCGGTGCGGCTCTTGCAGCAGGCCACAGTGCAGGCCACCGCCAGCACGAAGGCTACAGGCAGCACGAGAGCGCGGTACGCGGCGATCAGACGTGAGCAGTCCACGTGCCAGCCCAGACGTTGCTGAACGTATGGGGTCATGACTCTGGCGTCCAACAAACTCAAGCCCGGCAGCAGGTAGTAGTAGTAGGCCACCGTGCTGCCGAAGCCATAGTAGCTGATGGACGCGTAGTCCAGATAGAAGAAGGCGGCGCGCAGGCGCAGCGACAGACAGCTGAACACGTGCGCTGTGCAGCTCATGGCGAAGGTCAGCAGCACGCCCGACGCATAGCACCACAGGGGCAGCAGCCACGGGTGGTGAAAGGGCACGTCCCGGCCGCTCAGGAAGAACAGGCGGCAGAACTTGCTCAGGAACAGCAGCAGCGGGATGAAGTGCGTCCAGAAGTTGAGCGTTTCGTTAGTTGGCTTCAGCACCGAGGCCAGGCACTCCTGCGCTGTGCAAGGCAGCCGCCGGTAGCCGGACAGGATGAAGCACTCCACGAAGTCGTCTGGCACCTCGTCCCAACGCAGCAGCGGCTTGGCCGACACTGCGGGGTCGGCGGGGGCGCGGCGGGGACGTGGAGTGGCCCCTGAAGCAAGTGCGGCCGTAGCGGGCGGGCCCTTTGTGCCCGCGCCCCGGGGCTGCAGTCGCCGCGGCATGGTACCCAGGGCTCTACTAGGGCGCGTGCAGGCGACCTCTGGCGCCGGCTCCAGCGTGCTCGGCAGCCCCCGCCGGTCGCCGTCGGAGCCTTTGTGCCCGCGCCGGGGGCGTCCCTGCAGGTTCAAGAGAAGACTTGCGCCTCTGAGCAGCCGCTCCTGAAAAAACAAAATAAGAAATTAATAAGCAGTGGAGAGCGGACGCCGAGGCGACTGGCAGAAGAGCGCGGGGTGGCGGCGGGGCTTCGCGGCCCCTTCGCCAGCCTCTTTGCTCCCGGCTCGCGGCCGCCCGCGCTGCGGCAGCAGCGGACTGCGGCGGTGGCGGCGGCGTGGCGGTGACTGGGCATCAGTGCGCGCGGTGCGGGCGCCTCCGCCGCCGCCCCCGGCGCAAGAGGCGGGGATGTGCGAGCGGAGGCGCTGGAGGGAGGGACGCGCGCACCGAGGGAGGGCAAGGGCCTCCCCGGCTAGGGTTTCTCAGCCGCCTCGGGGGTTAGAGTTGTCCCCGGTCTCGAGTTCCGTACCATCCCCCTTCTCGGGCTGCTGCCGGAGCGGGCCCGTTAATGATTGATGCGAGGGCCAAAGGCTGCGCCAGCGACTCGATCACACGCGTCGAGGGCGAGGGTCGGCGCCAGGGTTCGAAACTCCACTGCCGCGTCGGCGTTCGGGAGGACACTGGGGAACCGCATTCGCGGCGGGGGCGGGGGGGGGGGGGGGGAGGGGGGGATGCGGGGGCGGGGGGGGGCGAGACACAGGGGGATGGGAGAACTGCGGGTGGGGGCGGGGCGGGCGCGCCGAGGCCGAGCAGAGTGGAGATATCGGGATCACAGTAATCTCCGGAGGTTAGGGGGTGCACTCAGGAAATTGGAGGGGCTTAGGGATGTTCGGATTGGTGCCCTGATATTGTCTGATACCTGGGACTGCTCCCCCACCCCTGTAATTTTTTTGTGTGTGTATATCTGTATGTGTGTCTGTGCCTCTTTCACACTCGGCAGCACAACAAGCTTGGTTTATCTCTTTCAGTCCTGCAGACTTATTCAGGTGCGTCACTACTGTTCCTTATCCCTCGCCCATGCCGAGTACAAAGGAACCGTCCGTAACCGATCTCCTGCTGCGCTCACCAGCCTTTGGATCACCCCCCACTCCCCACACACACCCACACACACAACGCGTTATCCATCCTCTTCTTGTGTCTTCAACTCGGAATCTTGTTTGAAGCCCTGAGTCCCACAACTCAGGGAGGGCTGCTCAAACTCCACAATTCAAGGAGAAATTTCAGTTGATGACCAGGTGATTCTGAATGTCTCCGTGAGGTTGCCAGAGCTGTGCCTTTGTCAAGGGCTAATAATAGTGGTGGGCATTAAAAGGAGTTGCATTCTAACATATCTGGAAAAGAGCATGAAGATCAGTTCGTAGGGCAGCGAGGTGGGTAGCTTGGATAAAAGCTTATGCATGTGAATCGACTCAACAGCAACGGATTGGTTTGGTTTATAACTAACCAGAAATAACCTGCCAGAATAGATTGCTGGGGGTCAGGAGAAAGGAAGACTGGAGAATCTTGAAAATGGTTGCTGTACACTGTGGTGTGAACATACACCCTTGAACTATTTGGAACGGGGGTCTATTTCTCAGAACTTTTTCACGGGTGCCCTGGGAGCTGTAACTGAGCTAATTTGCATCACTGACCTTACAAGATAGTTGTTAGCGACTCTATATAGGGTTTCCAAGGAGCAGCTGGTGGTTTTGAATCTACGAGATAGTGCTGAGATAACAAAAGCTAATGTTTAAGGGACCCAGCACTTTCCTAAGTGCTTTTTGTTGTTGTAAGTAACAGTGGAGTCTGTTCCTAGGGTTTCCGAGGAGCACCTAGTGGGTTTGAACCTCCCACCTTTCGTTTAGCGGTCCAGTGCCACACTAGGACTCCAAGTGCTTTTTAGGTTTCTGGAATTGTTTATTAGCATCAAACTTTGTTTGTTTTTCTACTGTCTATGGTCTTAAGTGAAGTCTAATTTGGTTTCACATGTGGACTAGGAATGCATGCTAATTTGTAAACGAGATTAAGACTACGGCATTTATAAGTCAAACCTAAGAATGATAAACATGAATCTAGGACTAATCAGAAAATAATTTTTAATATTCTCTTTATTACTTCATAGACATTTGGAGCTGTAGCTGCTAAAAAATGATGACATACTAATTCCCATATTTTTCCATCTCTTAGTTACATTATCAGCTCACTTCCATAATTGGGGAAAATATAATAGAAAGTTCACTTACATTATTATATTATATTATGTTATATTAACAAGATAATGGAATTGACTAAATAAATGTGCAAAAACTCTAGTTAGATGAAATTTGCTGTTGTTAAGTGCTGTGGGGTTGGTTCTAATTCATAGTGACCCTGTATAGGGTTTCTGAGGAGTGGCTGTTGGACTTGGACAACTGACCTTGTCGTTAGGAGTCCAGTGTTTATCCTAGCTTTATTACTAAGTGATGAAATTGACTATAATAAAATACGGTGTTTAAAAACAAAACAAAAAAACACATTATTTTGGAAAGTCAAAATATTTGTCATAGCATTCTTATAATTCAACAAGTCTTTTTTATTTCTGGCTTTCTCATTCATTCCCTTCCCCCTGCCACCAGAATAAAAGCAATAGATGCCAAGTCAGGAAAGTTCTGTGGTGCCAAATCCAGACAGTTGTCCTTGCTTGCACCTTGATAAAGCCAAGTCAAAAAGGAACCAAGGAAAGCAGCAAAACTGACCTAAGTTTATAAAATAAAATAGTAAGGCTTTCCTCAATTACTACTAATCTACAGAATTAATTTTTCTTAAATTCTTTTTCTATTATAAAAATAAGTTTTCCTAATCCCACACGGAGCCCTGGTGTGGCTCTGTGGATTAATGTGCCAGACTGCAAGGTCGTTGGAACTGCAAGGTTGGGAGTTCAAGCTCACCAGTCGCTCCTTGGAAACCCTATACAGGGTCGCTATGGGTCAGAACCGACTTGATGGCACTTAACAACAACAACAATCCCATACAGACTGGCTCTTGTAGTTTGTTTTCAATTTCAGTAAGTTAACTGCCTCTTGTCAGTGAGAACCAGGCTCACATCCACAGGGCTTGGCTGCACAGATAGAAGCAATGGGCTGGCTGCCATTGCCTGGAAGGTGCACTGGGAGATAAAGCATCACTAAGGTAACCATTTCTTCCCAGAGAAGAATCACCTGGTATTACACTGGAAAGCCAGTGCCAGAGTTGAGAGGCAAAAAGAGCTACCCAAATATAGCTCTTCAAACCAGGCCACGGATGTGGCTTTTCACAATCTGTTCTTGTAGACCAACTATAGGTGTATCTGTGTCTCTCACTACAGTAGTAAAATGAAGCATACATAGAAATCCCACAGAAATTTTTCTAATAGGGATAATTAGCTATCTGCAAAATTTTGCAGGAAAATATGCTATATTTGCTAAGAATACACCTGTTTTCGAAAGAAATACTTTTTCCTAGTCTCATTTATCTGGGGGTGAGGGGTGTCATAAAAAATACCCAGTCAACCAAACAAAAAGTCCACTATGGGCTTAGTCCTTCATTGCATCCAAGACTATAAAGAATTCTATAGTTTCCAGTATCTGCCCTCAGAGTAGGTGGTCTAAAGAAAGTGCTTTCTTTTTCATCATATAGGAAATAGCCATATTATCATCCAAACTCTTGTAAGTCACTACCAAAATATAGGGTCTGTGCTTCCTACTAGTGGAAAAACCTCATGACTGTGGAGTCAGATGTAACTATGGCAGCCTCTGGGGAGAAGTTGTGCAATCCAAAGCCAGAAGATGCCTAGAAACTGAAGAGGAGTGGTGAGAGATTGAATTCTTACTGACAGAATTCCTGCTGTGCATTTTCTTGGTTACAGGGTTACCTTTCGAAGAAAAGCTGGAGCGTTGTAGAGGGTGATTCTGTCTTGTCGTATGCAAGAAGAGATGACTCCACAATCCCTTGCCTTGATGTAAAGTCATCTATTTTCTACTAGTGAGAGCACAAAAAGATTGATTAAGGAGCACACAAAGAATAACACACTTAGTAGGGTAAAGAACAAAATATCACAACGTCTGTTTAAATATATGTCATCCTTTTAAATGTCTATATGTTGTGTTGTTGTTATGTGCCGTCAAATTGGTTCCGACCCATAGCAACCCTGTGTAGGGTTTCCGAGGAGTAGCTGGTGAGCTTGAACCACAGATCTTGTGGCTCAAACCAATTTTGCAGTCCAGCACATTAACCCACAGCACCACAGCAGGACATATGTTGTGTAGGTTTTACTATATAATTAAATTAATATGTAGTACAAGGATCTCTGGTAGCGTAGTGGTTATGAATCGTGCTGCGAACCGCAAGGTCAGCAGTTCGAAACCACCAACTGCTCCGCGGGAGAAAGATGAGGCGTTCTGCTCCCGTAAAGATTAACAGCCTCGGAAACCCTGTGCAGGGTCACTATGAGTCAGAACCGACTCCACGGCACATAACAACAACAACAACATGGAAGTCATTTATAAATATATGTAGGGTGTGGGAATCAAAACATTTTAATAAAGGTATGTAATCAACTCTTGGTTGACCATTGCTCTTGTTTGTCCATCCCCTCTCCCAGATACAGGATGGACTACCTTCCTCCTCTTACCTGTGAGGTCCCTGGGAAGGGTGTGGTGCTGTCACTATTAGTCAACTGACAATCCTCAAACTCTAACCAGACCTTCCCTAGTACTTGGGCCTTCAGCCCCTCCTCTAACTTCCAATCTGTCCTTCCTGTTTCCTGGCTAGAGCTCATATTGTCTTCCTACAAAGGCCTCATGTTTACTTGTTACAGTCACCCTCATTTAGAGCTAATCTTTGGGAGGAGACTGTTTTGTTTTAGATTGTTGATTTTTTGAGTAGAGTGTTTTAGGTAACTTGCATTTATTTAAATTTAGAAATATCTATACAGACTTACAAGGTAGGCTACTGAGTTCCTGCACCCCATTTTTAATGGAAGATTTTCCATGAAACTGTGCTTTGCACATAATGGGCACTCAACA